AAAAGATGACAATGGACCTAGCAGCTGATGAACGATCATTCCTTAATTGCTTACTTGAGCTCAATGCCTATGACAGGCAATTATGGGAAAATATGCAGCGGGTAGGTTTTTTGGCTCAATTTATCCCTTTTGAGCTGCCTATTGTACGCTTTCAGATCACCGACGTTGAATCTAAGTTGGTAACCTTGGAACAAAAACAGGATAAAATGATGTACGATATCAGCTCCATAAATGAGGAGCAGAAAGGTCGTTTTCTTTCAACCACGTTAGGAGTACGAGTAAGTGTTGATATTGTAGCTCTTGATGCTGCTGTTACCGCTTTGGAAAAGGATCTCGGTCTTCCTGATTGGACAGATCAAAATCATAGCCTTCCTATTGATGTGCTAGCCGCAACTCCAGGAGATGTGAAGAGGCAACAGCTGTAAGGAAAACTCATTTTGTAGAGCTCTATACGTAGTCGTTATGATTTCAGCTTGCAATTGTTGATCAGCGTAGATTCACAGATTAAAGAAGCCGACAGTGACCTTCAGGAAATTATTGACCAGGTTGTAGTACCGTCGATTTTTATAGCTTCGCAAAATGGAATGATTTTCAGGTGTCGGCACTACACAAGTCGAAATCAGCAATGTCTAATTCGAAAAAATATACTGAAGATCAAGTAGCGCAGATTCTTAAAAACCAAATGGAAACATTGATTTACATCGACAAGAAGACTGGTATGACAGTGCCACTAGGAAGAATAGCGTGATAACAATCAAGTTTGTCATTTGTAGGAGAACTTGATGCTAAAGTCGATGAATTCAAAGATGTTTTGGACGGGCGGCATTCTACGCTTTCTCCTCCTTGATCTCTGCTATACGATTACCATTGCTTATGTCCGGTATATGCTACTCAATCTTGTTGAATTTTGTCGGTTGTTAAGACTCAATGAAACTTAATGTACTATGTGTTCAGTTCGTATAGCCGTGCATAACGAAGTGCAGCTTCTTAACACAAGCTTCTGTCGTTTTTGCAATCCGTGTATTTCCATATCTGTCAGTGCACAATTTGCTGTTAGCACATCCATGCAGTGAATTGTTTCAAAAACTGAAAATTGCTAAATTTAATTTTTCTTATCACTTAGCTATATTTGCTCATAAAATTAGGACTTTGTTCATTATGGAAATTATTTTCCGTTATGCCTTAACCATCTTACATAGATTGCAGATCGTTCTCCACAAACAAATTCACCTCAATGAAAGGCAAGGAACTCTATAATTACAGTTAGCCTATATGCACAGTTTAGAAGGCATCTCCAATTAGGTGCAAAAAGGCGGAAATGGAAATGAACTTCCAAACAAAATAAAATAAAAAATCTAACCAAAGCATGCAACATGGTGCTCCGCAAAAAAAAA